AGGAACAGAGAGAGAGTGAGATGGAGAGATGACTAATAGAGCATCCAATGGATACTAGGGCAGAGGGAGAATTGTTGGAGAGTGAGAGGAAGAGAGATTGAGAATGAAACGAAAGGATAGATAGAAAGGGAGGGTTGGAGGGACTACAGAGAGAAATAGAGAGACCTTACTTAGTTGTTGCATGCTTTGATGAGAGAGAGAGAGAGAACAAACTAGACATTTCATGAATGAGGTTCAGTTGAGTAGGTTGGGTAAGGAGACCAACAGAAGTGCCTGAATCTGTTGCCTCATGTCTACACATTAGTAGCATAAGTGCGCTTCACAAGGGCACCATGCCTACCTAGACAAGGTGCTGTTCATGCTATTGCTTCTCCTTCTTGCTTTCATTTGGAGAAATGAACCTAGTTTGCTGAGCTTTCTTTGTATTGTTAATTGCCTTCTGCTCTCCATTTGCAGAGGGCTTTTAATTGTAATTATAATCTATTTTAAATAGTAAAGAATATTAAGTAAGCTTCTCAATGTTTGTGATGTTTAGTAGTAATTTCCTCCAAAACCTAACCAGGATAACCCTTTATCTAATATCTAGTTATTGGGTATTATATCTTTCCTCACTTATCAGGAAAACAAAAGAATCAATCTGAAACTTCATCAGATAACCTTACGGGTTGCTTTCTATGCAGGCGTTTTATACGGAGGTGCAAGCAAGGCTGTTTGCAATTTGTCATTCTGAAGCCTATACTAGTTGCTGTTACACTTATTTTATATGCAAAAGGGAAGTATGAGGATGGAAATTTCAATCCAAAACAATCATACCTTTATCTCACCATCATCTATACTATGTCATACACAATGGCTCTTTATTCATTAGCATTGTTTTATGTGGCATGCAAAGACTTACTTCAACCATTTAACCCGGTCCCGAAGTTCATCATCATTAAGTCTGTTGTCTTCTTGACTTACTGGCAGGTGAGTGATCTTTAGGTTCTTTTCCTTTTCCAAATCACTTGCTTCTCTATATGAATGTTTCCTTCGTTAGTGTGTGTAGTGTGTGTGGCGTTGTGTTGATTCTTACAACATATTCAGAGGAAGGTTAAATATGGTGGCTTTGAAATGTGAGTGTAATCTACTATGGGAAATAATGTGTTTTACAATTTAGTTTTAGAAAACTTATGGAATGAACGCGGGTTAGACTTCAGATAGAATGTGATGCTAATCTTCGTTACAACCACTCAAACATTGAACGGTTACCCGGTATTATTCAGTAGGCTGGAGTGCGCATTTTGTGGGGTCCTTGGGATAGAGGAACTATATAACTTTTAGAGGGCTTAAGAGATTTTATAAAATCCCACATCGATTGGGGAGGAGAATGAAACACCCTTTATAAGAGTGTGGAAACCTCTATCTAGAAGACACGTTTTAAAAACCTTGAGGGGAAGCTCAAAAGGGAAAGCCCAAAGAGGACAATATATGCTAGCGGTGTGCTTGGACTGTTACAGATTTTCTAACAACGTTTGATCCCTATGTAGATTCTTTTGTGGTAAAACTTCGTTGTAATTACTTATTGGGTCTAATTTTACTTGATTGGAGGTATTTTTTGTAGTTTGTCTTGCGGAGTTGTTCTTTGTATGACCTTGTATTCTTTCATTTTCGGTTTCGTTAAATAAACATCCTGGGGTGATGTACTTGTTTATCAAATTCTAGCTTAATTTGTAGACAAAAACAAATAGTATGCGATCATCAAAATGTCTTTTTAGTTCAGAAATTGTTGTCACAACCTGAAGCATGTAGAATGAACAGCAACTGATTCTATAATAAAATTTCTTTGCTATGTAATTTGGTTTAGGGCGTCCTTGTTTTTCTTGCTGCAAAAACTCAATGGATCAAGAATGCAGAGGAAGCTGCTCAATTTCAAGATTTCCTCATATGCATTGAGATGCTTATAGCCGCATTGGGCCATCTTTATGCATTTCCATACAAAGAATATGCAGGAGCTAACATTGGTGGTTCGCGTGGTTTCACCGGAAGTCTTGCACATGCCTTAAAACTGAATGACTTTTACCACGATACAGTCCACCAAGTGAGCTTTTTTTGATATAGTTTTCAAGTTTGAGATTGTTTTGCATCTCTTTGCTGGATTCTTCATTGTCCTCACCACTTTTCTCTTGCAGTTTGCACCAACTTATCACGATTACGTTCTTTATAACCATAGTGACGGTGACGAAGGAACGAGGAAGTACCGATCACGCACCTTCGTGCCTACCGGCCCCGAAATGGACACTGTTAGAAGAAACAAACACATGTTTGCAAACAAGGTAGAGGACATTCCACTTTCCACAATCCCTCAGAATTCCTATACAGTCCTCGAACCAGCACATCCCGATGCAATGAAGTCATCTCTTCTAATGGATGCCTCTAACTCTTTATCCACACCGTACGATATGTCGCTTATTGACTTGGATATGTCGAGCTACCCCTCGAAAGTTCCTGCAGCAAATGAAACTGAAACGAGGTGACGAGAATTGTCGGACAGGTAGGAAAAAACGATCGTGTGAGGAACTGAATACGCAAAGAAAGATATAATACAAATAGAGATTTTAGAGAGTATGTGTGCACACTGGCATTGCGGCATAACAGAAAATTGTGTAGAATGGCGTGTTTCTTCAGTCCATGGTGATGTATATACATACAATACACGATTCTGATTTGTTATGAATTAGGATTTGATACACAATCATGCAATATAAATTCATTTTAATTACCATACTGTAATGTGGAGGGAATAACCTTGATTTGAAGAATATTGGTGTAATTCCATTTAATAAGGGAATTAACCTATTTAATATATATATATATATTTTGTTCTCTTTTTGTAACGATCCAGGTCCACTGTTAGTAGATATTGTCCTCTTTGTGCTTAACCTTTCGGGCTTCTTCTCAAGCGATTTAAAATTTCCTCCCCAACCAATGTGGTACATCACAATCCACCCCATTCGAGGCCTTTGCTGACCTTTTCTTTCTCCAATCGATGTGGGACCCTTGCTAAATCCACCACCTTTGGGTCCTAGCATCTTTACTAGCACATGGTCCGGTGTCTGGCTCTATACCATTTGTAACGACCTAGGTCTACCGCTAATAGATATTGTTCTCTTTGGGCTTTCCCTTTCGGACTTCTTTTCAAGGCTTTAAAACGCGAGGCTAAGAGAAGCTTTGGGCTTTCCCTTTCGTTCTTCTCAAGGCTTTAAAACGCGAGGCTAAGAGAAGCTTTTTTCCATGGTAAGTATAATAGGTTTATGTACATATTTGATGAGGAGAATCATGTAAATTGCTCTTGCAAAGTTTATTCTAATCGATGAAGCTTTTATAGTTATCGATCATTTATTATATCTAAGATTCATCTTCCCCTTTGATTATTTACCATTATATTAGAAGAATCAAAAGTTCGACCACTAATAGAGGAAGTTTTTGTTGCCTAGAAGACGTGATCTTACCTACGATTGCCATATTGAATTAATGGAAAAAACTTCTTCAAATGGTCTAAGTCATGAGAAGTCTAAAGTTGGCTCTTGTGGGAGGAATATGAGGACCGTTGTTTGGCCAGAACAGGTTTCTATTTTGGAAACAATACGACGAAGTCACCAGCTCACGAGGGAGGAACTAGGAAACTGTTAAGAACAAGGTAGATGAATGGAGAAGAATGGAGCTAAGAACAAGGTACGTCACATGCCACCATAAGTGAGGAAATTACAGACGACGACGATGTGGTGACATTACTTTAAAGTCTCATAGACGATACACTCTAGTTAAGGTAGTGTGATGGGTAGATGAATGACTTAGAGTGATTTAAGTTGTATAAGATACGAGTGAGCCTGACAACGTTGCTAACATGAAGAAGAGGGAAGTGGAGTATGCCCCACTTGGAGTACCTTAACGAAGGATCGTGCTCAAAGTATATACGACAATAACTACAAGTATATATGACAATAGATCGTGCTCAAAGTATACATTTCTCCATCGACAATAGAAATTACATTAGTGAGAACATAAACTAAAACATCTCTTGATTGAGTCTCAACAATTGGTAAAACAGTCACAATTCATCCAATGCAGAACTTGATTCAACGGCTCTTTCCAAAAGGCGTAAATGCAAATAAAATACATCTTTTGAATAAGCTTTACGGCCCGACGGTCTTTGAAAAAGAAGAGACAATTGTCGTTAAGGTTGTATTGCAATGTAGTTAGAGAAGGCGCTTTATTGAGATTCTCATAGAAAGAAAAAGAGTGCAGTCGATTTGATAATGATCTAGTGACATTACTTCTTCAGTCCAAAACTACAAATCGTCAGATTATTTATGTGGAAGAGGGTGAGCTTCAAGAGAATGGCGTGAAGTTTTTGCAGCGTGAAACCGTGCACTACTAGACACGATATAGATCTTTCAACGAACAAGATTTTTTTCGAATAACCCAATTCATTAGAAATCTTGCTGATCCACTCCTATTCAAAGATTAGTCTTTCGTGTCTGTGTATTCTTTACATTAAGAATTCTTTACCGAGACAAGAGATGCCAAATGAGCTGTTTACTTCCTGAACAAATATTCCTACATCTATGTATAAACGCTAGTTTATCAAGAATATGCAAGAAAAACACTTCAGTTTCTTGATTCATCGCGAGAAATAGTTTATTATCTAATAGATTTTTCCGTTCTAATACTTCACCCGAGAGTTCTCGATATTTACCAAACCTGTTTCTATCTAACGAAACACTATCAAATCAAATGACATAAACATTGTCGAGAATAAGATGGTTTTTTCCGAGTGAAACTAAAGCCGAATTCATGTCCCATTGTTTAGCCGAACAAATATGGAACCACGAAACAAGAATTAACTGGAGTGGTAGAGTCGTGAAAACACGAGTTTCTTCCAAATTTTGGACGTTAGCTCCACAAAACAATAAAAGAATTGGAATCTTAAATTTTTGAAATACAAATTTAGTTGTTTCAAGAAAAAAAAAAAAAAAAAGAAAAGAGTTTCAAATTTGTTCTCTTCCGTTTCCAACAAGTTCATCACACAAGCAATTTGCCAATCACTCGCCAACAGACCCACCTGGCTCTGTCTGTCGTAGGCCCACATCATTTCCAAACAAATTTCTCCATTCGAACAAATTCATTTCAATCCAATCCCATCCCATTTCACCCCTTTGTTTCTGTTCTTCAATTTGTGAATCGCATTTATATATGTTCGAATCAAAACATATTGAAAACCAAATCTCAGCTGTTGATTGCAGTAGCGTTAATGGCGATGGCGACGAGACTCGTAAAAGAATCGCGACGGCCGAAATCAGGCGCGATGATGATGATGACGACGACGACGACGACGACGACGATGACGATGGAAAAATGGAGATCGGTAAAAAAGGCTTTGGAAAAGCGAAACAGGTGATGTTCTATCCATTTCGAAAGGCGAAGAAACAGATTCTTCGGTGTAGGATTAAGAGGACCTCTTCTTGTTCTTCTTCTTGTTCTTCTTCGATTTTTAGTATTACAAGAACAAATTCTTGGGATAAGAGTGTTTATGATGCGAGTGTAAATCAAGGCTGTGGTTTCTGTTTTGCGAAACATTCAATTTCAGATTCTAAGAATGGATCTCCGACTGATCCGAATCACCCGAAGTTCACTAATGAAATGTTGAAAGTTCTTATTGAAAAGAACGATTTCTATTCCAAAGAATCCAATCCTCATTTGGGTATATTCCTCGTTCTTCTTGTTCATATATCTTGATAGTTGATGCTTGTGTGCAGTTTGTTCATATTGTTTTTGTTTGACAGATTTTCAAGTGGATACTAAACAGGAAGAAGACATTCAATTGGGGTTTGCTTGTTGAGGTATGTAACAAATTTTGTTCATATATTGATGGAAATTTAGTATTGGGTTAGACTTGCATTCTGTTTGGTTGATCTGAAAGTAGCCTGTTGATGTATGTTCATAGTTGGAATGTATACTCGGGAGGAATATATTGACATTCCATTAGTTATTGGCATTTGAAAATATAGTGTGATATCCCACGTTAATGGGAGGGAGGAATGAGTGTCAGTGAAGACGCTAGGCCATGAAGGGATGGATTGTGAGATTCCACGTTGATTAGAGAGAGGAATGAGTGCCGGCGAGAACACTGACCCCTAAGAGGGGTGGCTTGTGAGATTCCATATTGATTGGAGAGGGGAAAGAGTGCCAACGAGGATGCTGGGCCCCGAAGGGGGTGGATTGTGAGATTCCATATTGATTTGAGAGGAAAACGAGTGTCAGCGAGGATGTTGGACCCGGAAGGGGGTGGATTGTGAGATTCCATATTGATTGGAGAAGAGAACAAGTGTCAGCGAGGATGCTTGGCCCTGAAAGAGGGTGGATTGTGAGGCCCCACATTGATTAGAGTGGGAAACGAGTGCCAGTGAGAACGCTGTTCCCGAAGGGGGGTGGATTGTGAGACCCTTCCTCGGTTGGAGAGAGGAACAAATCATTTTTTATAAGGATGTGAAAACTTCTCCTTAGCATATGCATTTTAAAAACATTGTAAAGAATGTTTCGTTTAGCACATATGCTAGGGAGAGGTTTTAAAACTTCTCACGGTTTTAAAATGTGTTTACTGGGGAGAGGTTTCCATCCCCTTATAAAGAATGTTTCGTCCCCTCTACAACCGGTGTGACATCTCACAATCCACCTCCCTTCAAGGCCAGCATCCTTACTGGCACACTGCCTGGTGTGCACCCCCTTTGGAGTTCAACGTTCTCGTTGGCACACTACTCGGTGTCTATCTCTGATATCATTTGTAATAGCCTAAGCCCACCACGAGTAGATATTATCCTCTTTGCGCTTTTACTTCTAGGCTCCCCCTAAAGGTTTTAAAACACGTCTACACCCTTATAAAGAATGTTTCGTTCCCCTCTCCAACCGACGTGGGAATCTCACAATTATTTCATTAATGTTAATAAGGTTTGCCTTTCCTACTACAGATTGAAAGTTGCTTGAAGCTGCACTTTGTGTCTGTCTAACTGATGTTAAGGTGTGGAAGATGGTCCTTGTTCTTTGTTTGATGATAACTTGGATTGGAGGTCCCTCCAAATGATCCTCTTCCCTAAGCCATTGTTATGGAGGCAGGACCTTGTTTGAGTCTCTCTGAGCCGAGTTCGTCGTCCTGCTTTCGTTCTCCGTTCACCGAGGAAGACCTCGTTCAATACGGAGCTGAAACCGAGATTATTTTGTTGGCTAGAGTTTCGTTTTGATAGCCTTATTGGTGGAGTTTCTGGTTTTGATTGTTGGTTCTTCAGTTTGGAGGGTTTTGGCTATGGTTTCCTCTTTGATGGTAGCGGCCATGGCTTTGCTTTTGGAGTTTTCTTCTTCCATTTCTCTTCATCTGTGTTTGGTTGCTTCCTTTTTATTCTTGAACAGCCATGTTCACCTGGTTTTCTTTCTGTATTTTTAGTTCGGTTGTGTATTTTGTCCTTTTCATCGAGTTAATAGAACATCCAAAATAGTCAACACGATCCAACTAAAGCTAAGTTGAGTCGAGAAAGTTGACTTAAAACTTAACTCTTAACATAATGAGAATGGATGAGAGGTTTTGAAATTGCACGAGAGATAGAGATGTCTAGCAGTGGGGCAGAGACGAACGAGCTTTCCTTGTTTACATCCTTGTCACCTATTTCATTTTTTCATTCCGCAAAATTATCAATTTATTTTTGAAAGGATCTATTCTTAGCAAGTAATTTTTTTCATTTATTATTATTTTTTAAACATATAGTTATTTTTGAATTTCCATTTTTCAATATAAATTTTATTAAAAAAATCCTAATAAATAAATATATCACCCATATAATTTTTTTTAAAAATATTATCATTAGTCTCAAAATTAATTAATTTTTTTTAAAAAAATAAAGTCGAAAGCTATTTTCAATCTCCATTAGTGTCTAATTTTTTTGCTCAGTTTAATATAAATATATATAACATATATTTATATTAAACTGATCGGAGAATTGGATTGAAATAATAAAAAAAATCTCCATTTTCTCTCATATTTTCCTATTCTTCGGTTAAACAGAGAATTCTCTCCCATTTGGGACGGGTCCCTACAAATAAAATGGATATCTTTAGCTAGAGATACTACTGTTATAAATAACGCTATTGAATTTAAACACATGGTTCGTTCTTATTGTGAATGTTTGATTAATCTACCACACCTAAATGGTGTGAAAGTTATTTTATTTATAATCAAATAAATTACAATGATATGGAAATAGTAATAAATGGAAATAACAATAAATAGAAAGATACCTATAAGACAAATATTAGATATAATAAAATATCAAATATAATATATATGGTAAACTATAATTTATTACTAAATATCCTTAACACTCTACCGCAAGCTAAGCGTCAGATTTAAACGAACGTGAAACTTGAATCTGAAAAATTCAAAGAGGTTGAGAAACACTTTTCATGAAGATGCTAACAACCCGGTTCTTGACCATCAAAAATTGCAGAGGGATCGCCGCTCAGCGGCGATGCTGCCTTGGCTTCGACGAGAATATGTCTAATCCATGAAGAGGGATTGTCGCTTAGCGACGATGCTGCCTTGGCTATGGTGAGAATATTTCTAACCCCAAGAAGTAGAAGGGGAAACCTAGAGCAAGGGACAAAGACAATATTGAAGCCGGAAGAGTCGCCACATTGGGCGAAGGAGCCAATTTTGGCGAGAAGGGCAGTCGGAAGAGTCACCTCATCGGGCGAAGAAGCCAATTTTGGCAGAAAGGGCGGCGGCAACTTGGTTGGCGAATAGGCTAGTGCGGCACCTAGATTCCGAAGGTAAATCTCTGCAAAAGGTTGATAGGTTTATGTTAGGGTTTATGTGAAGGATGAAGGTTGATTGGGAAGAAAATGAGAGAGACTATATTGGCCAAGGGGAAAACCGATTGGGTTGGAAAAAGTGAGGTTGTATGCACAGAGTATGACGAAAGGTGATTTGGAGGTCAATAGGGTGGAGCCGAAGAGTAATCAATCGGCTCCGACTACGGCAGCCATGAAGACTGCCCCTGCGGCGTCAAAACCAGCAGGGGTGGTGGAGAAGAAGATTAGAGGATTCAAAAGCTATTAAAAAAAAAGGATTGGGGTTGTTAAACCGAGAGGGCTCTGATACCATGTGAATGTTTAATTAATCCACCACACCTCCACCACACCTCAATGGTATGAAAGTTATCTTATTTATAATTAAATAAATTACAAGGATATAGAAATAATAATAAATGGAAAGATACCTAGCAAATATTAGATATTTGCCTTATAATAAAATATCAAATATAATATATATATTAAATTATAATTTATTACTAAATATCCTTTAACACTTATCTTGTTTAGAATAATTAAAAAATAATGGTCAATATTGAATTTAAACCCATGTATTTTAGATATTCAATGGCTCTTATTTAGAAAAGTTAAAATAATGGGGTTGATTTCATTAATAGAATAAAATAAAATGCCATTTCCACGTGGAGAATGGGGAAAATTATATATTATTATTATTTTTTTAATAAAAAAATTGCTTCATAAATGGACGTTTGACGTAATGCTCTTATCCAAGTGGCAAAAATGATTAGATAATGCTATTTAATTCATTTTAATAATCATGATAATTAATAAAGTATTGAAAATGAGTTCGTCTTAACCAATTTTAAATTGACGTGTTCGGTGATAGAAACAATCTTTTTGTTTGCATAAGAAGGTGATCGATACTATAAATGTGAAACATCAAAATCTAATAGTTTAGATATTTGTACGAACGCAACCTTTCACAGAAAGCTAACTAAACTTCGGTTACACGAACTACCTGATGCTAAAATTTATAGACACGTGCATTATATGACAGCCGTAGTAGAAAAAAAAAATTGTGACCCACATGTGATTTTTTTTTTTAAGAAGGCGATATGGTGCCCAATGAACCACATGATGACAAAGAGAAGAGTAGGTTGTGACTCTCGTTTGTAGAGATCATGTGAGGGTCGAGAGGAGAGTAGGTTGTAACTTCTACATGAAAGGGCCACGTGAGGGTTGAGAAGAAGAGACTAGGTTGTAACTTCCATGTAAAGGGACTACGTGAGGGCTAGGAGAAGAGACTAGGTCGTGACTCTTAGGTGAAGAGGTCATGTGAGGGCTTGGAGAAAAGACTAAGTCGTGACTCCCATGTGAAGAGACCGTGTGAGGGCTAATAGAAGAGAGTAGGTTGTGACTTCCACTTGAAGGGACAATGTGAGGCTCGGGAAGAAGAGAGTAGGTTGTATCTATCACATAAAAAGACCATGTGAGGCCCGAGAGAAGACTGTAGGCTATGACTCTCATGTGAGGACCGAGAGAAGACGTAGGCTATGACTCCCACGTGAGGACGGAGAGAACACAGTAGGCTATGACTCCCACGTGAGGACCGAAAGAAGATAGTAGACTATGGCTCTCACATGAGGGCCGAAATACACGTGTCTTAATACAACTGAAGAACAATGCATCACATTGCAAGGAAATTACTCGTGTTTTAAAAAGAAAATTGATTCGAATAAAAAATATTATACAATCTACATTATCAAAAAAATGATTCCAAAATAATGAAGGGAGAGAGAAATGAAGAACAAATCCCCAAATCTCAATTCTTATTCAAATTATCAGTGAAACCAAGGAACCCAGAAATGCAATGATACAAATCACAATACAAACACAACACAACAGCCAAATCAAAATCAAATCAAATCAAACTCAATTCCAAACACAATCTTCGATTTCGATTTCGATTCACGGAAACTGCTATTGATTTGCCTCTCTTATTTTGGCGCAAGTCTCGATTTGATCTTCTTAACCTCTTTAGTCCCTATTTGAAACGCCTTCGTCAACACGTTATCCGGCACCGGCGGAGATGCGGCGAAAAGTGTCGCTGCAATCGATTGAGTACCAGGCAACTGACTGTTGAACGCTGCAATCACCGCCGCTGGAACCTTTCCATTGTTCTTCTGGAAGTGGACCAATCCCTTGGGGAACACGAAGATCTCGCCAGTCTTGATCGTCTTCGAGACGAGGACATTCGCGGTGGTTATGAAGCCGACGTCGAGTTGGCCTTCGATGACGAACACAATCTCGGTGGCGCGCGGGTGTGTGTGAGGTGGATTCAAGCCACCGGGGGCGTAGTCGATCCGCGCTAGGGAAACGCCGAGCGTGTTCAGGCCGGGGATAGATTGGACATTGGCGCCAGTTACTCGCGAGCCTTGGGTGTTGTTTGTTAGCCCTGCTTTGGCCAATCCATTGAAGAAGAAATCGTCCGCTGAGAAATTTGACTTGCAGGTGAATCCGTTTACTTTGATTCCTGTTTTGATTCAAATGTTAATATCTGGAAAAATAAACTGTTTGGAACTGCCATGATCTTGCCTAGTTTGAGCTTGAACTTGAAGATTTTGCTTGATATTGTTAAGTTAGGGATGTGAGAACTGTTCCACATGGATTAGAACAAAGGAGAACCTTTGAATCTTGAAGATTTTGCTTGATATTGTTAGGTTAGGGATGTGAAAACTGTTCTACATGGATTAGAACATAGGAGAATCATTGAATCTTGCAGATTTTGCTTGATATTGTTAGGTTAGGGATGTGAACTGTTCTACATGGATTAGAACACAGGAGAATCATTGAATCTTGCATATTTTGCTTGATATTGTTAGGTTAGGGATGTGAAAACTGTTCCACGTGGATTAGAACATAGAAGAATCATTGAATCTTGTGTTCTTCCTCTGTTTACTTTCCAATATCAATGTTGTCAAAGTTAGAATGTAGTTCGAATTCACCTCCGATTTGAAGAAGAGAGCAACGTCTCGTTCTTGCTGTGGAATATCGTTCGCATTTCTAACTTGACAACATTTCTATTACTACGAGACATTTTGAGCGAAAACAAAAAACAACTCTAGAACCACACAACCTTAACCCAGAACCCCAAATTAGAAACCAATGATTATGCAACTGTTAGAGAATTGGGGAGACCTAAGAACTTGAAAGAACAGAGCTAGAACACTTGAAGTAGGTACCTGAAGTGAGATCGGCGACGCAAACGTCTTGAAGCAAGTCGGGATCGGCGATGGCGACGGCGAATAAGAAGGCAAGAGGTGCAGCAAACAGAGCAGGGAGAGGTAGCTTCATGATTGAGAAGAAAAGAGTATGAGAAAATGGAGGAAGTGATGGGTATGGTAGGTGGTGGATGGGGAAGTTAATATATAATTGAAGCCAAGAAATGAATATGAATAGAATAATGGTGACAGCATTGTATGAGCAAAGGGGAGGGAAAGGCAAGAAATATGCCACTTCTTAGAGATGAAGGGAAGTCAATGGGTTTTGTCATCATCTTGTTATCTTGAGGAAGTTTTGGACACAGATCCTCCCTTTTTTTCACGTCTCTTGGGAGCATTGACCAAAAAAAAAAAAAAAAAAAAGGAAAAAAAAGGTTTCACCTACTTGATATTTTGTCTACCTGTTGATTTGAGTGTTGTTGAATTAATGGATGCAAGGAATGTTCGACCATGGAGTTGATAAAGATAATATAAATACTAACTAAAACT